GTTGACCATGAAGTTGTCTAGGGTCCAGTTGTGGCGACCCGGGTCTTCTCTACCTTGAGTTGCAATCCACACTGAAGGCTGTCATCCTTGATCAAAAATAGGCTTCTTTTGTGTCTGAGCTGCGGGAGGGCTGCTTCCAGAGAACCTGGAATAGCCATGTGATGGCTGATCTCCAGCAAACATCCTACAGCCCGAGGCAGGTGTGAGGCTGGCTAGAAGCCACCAGCCAGGATGGCAGGGGAGGAAGGAGGATAGAGAGCCTGGACCCTCAAGGACCCCGGAGGGCAGCCGCTAGGTCCTTGAGGCCATCTTTCAGATCAGCTTAATGAGAAAAACGAACTTCTACCTTGTGGAAACCACTGCTGTTTTGAATGTTTGGTATGCGCAGCTGGCCCTGACCCAGGTCATCTGGGTTTCTGCTCGCAGATGACGAAAGTGGGGCAGAGATGGGCAGGAAGCGAGCGGGGCGCTGGGGATTGCCCCAGAACTAACGGGGCTGGGGCCCGAGCTGGCCCCCCTGGCGCCCTGTCCCGCGCACACAGAGGACAGGAACACCGTCTCCGAGGCATGAGCATGCTCCTTGCCGCAAGTCAATATTTGAAAGAAGGCAGCAGGAGTCTGTCCCCAGGGAAGTGTTTGTCCTCCCTGCCGCCTCCACATGTGAACTTGACCAGGAACCTCTTCCTACCCCAAACATCGGGCAGAGAGGATGGGGCGCCCCCTCCACCATCTGTCTCTACTCTTGGGGCGGGGCAAGCATGACAGGACAATCCGGAGCCCAGGCACTGGGGCTGAAATCCAGGGCCACCAGGTATGTGCGGGTGGGGGGGCCCTCCATCCTCCGCAGCTGAAGGGGCGGGAGCAGCCCTGACCAGACAGGTGCAGAAGCGCCAAGAAAAGGTAGAAAGAAGCTGAGGACACAATGCTTCATAGTGGGGCTGCCGCAGCCTCGCCACACACCTGCAGGTGCCAGAGCTGGAGCCCCAGCGGGTGAAGCGGGCAGAGACGAACTTAGGAAGGCCCTTCCTTGCTTTTCCTCTGAGGCCACGGCCTCTCTGGGCAGTTTCCCTCTTCCACCTTCTTCTACTACCTACGTGGCAACCAAAAGGTGTTCGCCCTGAGCTTCATCGGATCAATTTTGTGCCAGAGCATCCCTGGACGGCAGAGTTCATGGTCTCTTAGGGTTTCTTGACAAAACCAGGCTGCCTCCTCTTCCTCCCGTGGAGCAGCAGGGGGGATCAAACCACCAACCTTTCTGTCAGCAGCCACACGCTTACCTGCTGCGCCACCAAGGCTCTTTTTAAAATCGGTTACCTACATCGGAATGTGCAGCGACAGGCATCGGTCACCCGGTGACCCAGAGCAACAGGGAGTGGTGGGGACTTCGGCAGCAGCTGTACTTCAGTTCCAGCCAAGAGCTGCCCTGCAGGAGGGGGACCCACATCTGCAGCTATCCCCCAAAGACGCCGGGCTCCGGATGCTTTCCCCCACCGACCCGGGTGTTCCCAAACCTGTTGACCAGGCATTGCGCTGTGCGAACTTGAAGGGGGCAGGGCTACAGGCCACAGCTGGCCTTTCAGGGTCCGTAGCCCTGGGAAAGAAAACCACACTTCGATGATGCACTGGGACACTGGCAGCAGGGTTTGGAAATCGCCGGGGCTGGAGCTCGTTAGGAGCAGCCCCGTCGTAGGGGGGGCACGCACAGCTTGTCCAAGCGTTGGGCTGAGCCTTTTAAGAACATCCATCAGGTGGCCTGGACGAGGACTTCAAAGCCAACAGAGACCCGAGTGTCCTCCGGACGGCCGAGTGGCTGAGTGCCGCTTCCTCCCTGGGCTCGACGTGCGTGCCCCTGGCCAAGAGCAGACCCCCATGCGCCCAGAGAATTTACACTGGACAGCGTGGCCAGCAGCCACGGCTGCCTCAAAGTATTTTGTTTTTTGTTTTTGACCCTCTCTTGTGCCTCTATTTTATTGGGATGACTAAAGCTTTCAAGTATGTTTGCCGGAAACACAGCTAATTTACCCCCTGCCTCTTTGAAACAGCTGCTGACAGCTGCCCTGTGATCCAGGCCCGTCAGGACCTTTGTGGTTCAACCTCCCAGCTCCACATCGGGTGCGTGGGTCCCTCTCCCGCCTGGAGCACCACACAGCTGCACCAAATATTGACAAGCACCAGTTTCTCTCTGGGGGCCGGAAGATAAACAGCGGCTCACGGTGGAGGCCAAGGGAGCTCCAACTTCCCGGAGTTGAAAGAAGACAACACACACGCACACGCACACGCACACACACGGGCCGAGAACCCAGTGCCTCCCATGACTGCTCAGCCAGAGCCCTTCCTATTTAGTCTACTCACCCACAGCGGTCCCCAATGACTGCCCTCTGTAGCCACTGTGGGGACCTGGTCCGGCCGTTCCTGCCTCATCTTAAATAAGAGAACAAACAAGCAAGCTACACGTCCCCAAACAAGGACGGACGGGAGGGCCTGTGCGGAGCGCTGCTGATGGAAATAAGGACGTGCTGTTCCTGTTGTTTGGCAATCACTCTTTACGTGCTCACGGACACCAAGGGCAGGGTGGGGAAAGAGTGGGGAGAAACAGAACACAACCACGGAGCCTTGACGCCGCAGACTTGGTTGGAAGAAACCCTCCCCCAGTTAACAAAGGTGGAAGGCCGCAGCCCAAGCTGCCATCGAAGAAAACAAGAAAATGAGGAAACGGCATTGCCTTAATCATGGCCCATTAGACTAACGACTGCGAGGAGGGTGCCGGCCCAGGCCCTGTCTCATCCTGATGCGCATGGGTCACGATGGGTGGGAAATTGACCCCGTCGAGCCCAACACTAACCACAGACAGACGCTCTGTGGCCAGGGGTCGGACCTGGAAACAGTAGCCGCCTGCTCTGCCAAGCGCCACGCACATCCTGGTGGAGAGCCCGCGCCCTCAGGTGATGCTAGTGTGGGTGGACACCAGCTATAGAACTTACCAACCAGGCAAGCAGGCAGGCAGGGGCAGGGGCAGGGGAGATGGGCGAATGGCGACAGGGAAGGTGGAGAGGAGGTGGGACGTGGGGGGACTGCAGTCAACGCCAGCAAGCACAGTGCAGGTAAGCTTGTTGAATGAGAGAGTAAGTTACCTGTGATCTTCCACCAAACCCACGACAAAACATGGGGAGCAGGACACAGGTGCTCCCAGCCAGACCCTGGGCTCGGGGTGGCACTCTCCAATCCGCTTCTAGAACCTTCCATCTGAGATGTGCGTCCAGCACACCCCGCGCCCGGTGGACTTCCCACCACAATGGCTCTTGCTCCCCTCAGGGACACATTTGCAGAGCCCTCTCCAGGGTCTGCAGTTGAGAAGAAGGAACCAGGTAGACCAGCGGTTCTCAACCTGTGGGTCGAGACCCCTTGGGGGAGGTTGAATGACCCTTTTACAGGGGTGGCCCGATTCATCACAGTAGCAAAACGACAGTGATCAAGTAGCAATGAAAATAACTATGGTTGGACGGTTGTCACCACCACATGAGGAACTGTATTAAAGGGCCGCGGCATTCAGAAGGTTGAGAACCTCAGAGCAGAGGGTCTGGTAGGGGCGGGGGTTAGGGGTGGGGGTATGGACAGGCCGCCTCTCCACCTGGCAATTTCCTGTGAGACGTGGATTTCTCTTGTGCTTCTTAAAATAGGGACAGAGTACAGCATCAGACCCCAGGCTCAGTCCTCTTTGCTCTCCCGCCCCTCTACAATGTCACACGGACTTCCCACCGCAGGGCAGAGCGGAAGACCGGGCTTAGGCATCTGCGGGCTGTTGCCTGCCTGTTTTGACGTTGGTCACCGCAAACCCATCTGAACGACCGGACATGTTTTCAAGGTCAGCACCCCCCCTCCTATTAGCAAAGATCCTACTCGCCCCCACTTGTCACCCCTCCCAACCCACCCCTCCTTGGGCCCGGGCAGGTCTGTGTGCCTCTGAATGAAACCAGAAAGGAATGGTGCGGCCTCCCCTCGCCTCTCTCCACGGGTCAAGGCTTCTGTTTATGAAATGAGAGTACATGAAGGAACGGGGATCCATTGTTTAGGAAAATCTCCCGTAAGATCCTAACCATTTTCACTCATTCCTTTTTATTGTGACATTTATTACAGGGACTTCCGCATCAGTTTCCTTCTGCACAGAAGACCATGCCCACCCTCTCTCCGCCCTCGTCCTCTCTCTGCTGGGTGGCCTGGCTCAAGGCGTCCTAATTCTTCAGTGAGTCAGTGCACCGCTGAGTCCTCCCAGCCAATGGCCGGCTGAGATGGCCCTCGCTCTGTGTTTGTTCCGGCCAGGTGTTCACCGGCAGCTGCTGGTCCATCAGATGCCAATGAAAACCCATCGAAAGCCATTTGCCTTTCAAATCCCCAAACACTCCTACGAGGCTGAAGTCAGGGGAGGGGAAGGAAGGGGGTCTCCGGAAGAGGTGGTTGGTCGGCTGGCTCCTGGCCCAGGCAGGCGGGTGGGAGACGCAGGATCCGTCTGGAAGAACATGGCTCCGAGGGTCCAGCTCCCAGGAGGGGCTAGTGGCAGCCGCAGGCCCGGACCACCATGTTCCTGTACTTCTTCAGGATGACGTTGGAGCTGTCGTCGAAGTAGAGGACGGAGATGGCGTTGAGCTGGGTGGGGGCGCAGCACGGCTTGGGCACCGTGTCCGGGTTAATGAAGTGAACCTGGAACACAGCACATGCTGGCAGCGGTGAGAGGTGGCTCGAGAGGCCAGGCACTGCGCACCCCCCCCCCTTACCCGGCTCCCCAGTCTCCATGCTCTCACTCAAGAGGGCACCCTGCTTGAGCAAGGGGATCCCTGATAATGCTCAGGGTGCACTCTCTCTCCCGGGGGCACTTTGAAAGCCACCTCCGTCAGTTCTGAGCTTCTCCCAACTTCACGTGCGAAGGAACCCCGAGTGCAGCGTGCAGAGCCAGAACCTCGCTACAATTGGGTCCCCTCACCCCACTGGTTTACGTGGATGCTTGGGAGGATGGTATGGGGTGGGGCGGTGTTTTGGTCTGTGGCACACCAGTCGGCGCCAGCTCAGCAGCAGCTCCCAGAAACCGTCGCCATCCCTTTGACCACTTTCCACGGAGGGATGAGTCCACGGAGGGTCACCTGCCCTGGGATCCCAGGGGTCATGCTTTAGAGCAGTGGTTCTCAGCGCGACCCTTGCATACAGGTCCTCATGTTGCGGTGACCCCCGACCTTAACATTATTTTCGTTGCTACTTCATCACTGTCATTTTGCTACGGTTATGAATCGGGCGACCTCTGTCGCGACCCCCAGGTTGAGAACCGCTGCTCTCTATGGACCCCAGCAGTGGTGCACAGGCGGTACCTACCAGTGTCTGCACGATGGCGTGGTTGGTGGCGTTCATGTAGGAGTTCAGTGGGAAGGCGCACTCCCCCTCGCAGTAGTAGGCAGCGTAGCCTTCAGGGGCAATGATCCAGTCCTGCACAGAGGCGAGCGTCAGGGGTGCGGCTGGACCCTTGTCCTGGAGTTTTATGGGACTTGCATGCACTGCCCGAGATCTCTCCACCAGGAGTCGAGACTCGGAATTGGGCTCCTGCCCGGGGTCACAGATGTGGCCCTTGCACACCCTCCTGAGCGGTGGAACCAGAACACAGGGGTGGCGGCCCCTCTTGGCTCCAGCAGGATGTAAAACAAGCCCAGAACGGGCAAACCTGAGTCTTATCTCCAGGGGTGGAGAGTGGTCCAGACAAGTGGGCTTTGGTGTCAAGAGTGACCAGGCCTGGCCCATACAGGTGATGTCCTGAGGACAGCGTCACAGGACGGTGGGGTGGGGAGAGTGGAGGGAGGGGGGACTTCTGTGGACGTCCCCTCAATGTACAGTTGGGCCCAGTCCCCAGGGAGAGTTCCATCCACAGGATGGGGACGAGGGGGTCCAGGGTCTGGCGGCGTTAGGTTCCTGGTTCTAGTTTGAGTTGCAGGCATATTTCTACCTTTGGGTTTTGTGGGACACCCCTGCACCCCATCCCGTGGAGACCCATTGGTACAGAAGCCACGGCTGACAGGTATCAGACACCGCAGATCCTTAGGCCACGTGCCCTTTCATTGCCACTCCAGCCGCAGGCCGGTGAGTAGTGCAGTCCTAGCTGCCACCAACGGGAGACACACAAGGGCCACCCACCCCAGGGGCTTCTCATCCTGGGACGCGCCCGGCACCCTTACCTGCCAGCCCAGGTCGCGGAAGCTGACGTACAGCTCGTGTTTCTTACAGGCCTGCCTCTGGTCGCTGCTGCTGTTCTCTGTGGGGGACGGAGGGCCCAACAGCGGAACAAGGGGGGAAAGGTGAAATCAGCACACACTCAGCACACTCGTGTGCAAGGCCCTGGGGGAAGGGTGTGTTTTCAGAAGCAGAAGACGGTGTGAAGACCTGCCCAGCCGGCAACCTCCAGAGAACTTTTGGGATTCTTCTATCAACATTGGCTTCTTAAAATGTGGTTTCTGTCCTGGGCTCCACAAGGCCACCAGAGCACCAGGGACATCCCAGCTTGGCGCCATCGGAAGCACCTTCTCTAGGGGTCCACTCCAGGATGCCCACCCCTCTGGAAGGGGCTAGAGAAGACCATCAAGCCAGGGTTGGGACGTGAGTGTCCCCCATCACCACCACGGTGAAGAGGTCAGAAGGTCACATCCCACTGACCTTCCAGAAACCCACCCGACAGCTGCTTGTTTGCGGACAAAGGGGAGAGAGGCACGGGGGTTTCTGGAGGCTTGCGTGGCCGGTAGGCATTTGGGATAGGAACGCAGTGCTTGTAAACAGTACAGAAATCCACCCTGCTCACAAACACACTCACTCGTGACCTTTGTCCCTGCGCAGCCCCCTCTCCACCCTGCAGCTGCAGGGGCTCCTTCCGTTAACCGAAACCTGTCTCTCCGCCACCTCCGGCTTTCCCATGGCGTGTGTCCTGGACCGCTGACCCATCCACTAGGGGATTCCTCTCCATCCACCTTCTCCTGTGCCAAGAAGGTGCTCACCCACAGCTGGGGGGTGGGGGAGCGGGGGTACAGACTGACGGGCAGTCCGGGTGGGAGGGAGGAAGAAAAAGGCTGGGCGGGAGAAGAGGGGGTGAAGGGCAGCGTGGAATCCCGGAATGCTCTCAGAGGGTTTTCCCCAAAAGATTCAGGTCTGGAATGAAGAAGGCTTGGGGGGTTCAATCGCCTGCTGTGTGTATCGCCATCTGCTTTTCAGAACCCTCAGTGCTCTATGTCTGTGGCTCAGGGGGTTTATGTGCTGAGCTACTAAAGGAAGGGTGGTTGGTCCGTCCACCTAGCGGTTCCCCGGGGGAAAAAAGCAGAGCAATCTGCTGAGAAATGGCCATTCAGACCCTGCCGAGGGCAGTTCCCCTCGGATCCACAGCGCTGACACACACACACCGAGTCTCCAGAAGTGGAGTGGGTCACAGAGAGACTGCTCACTGCAAGGTCAGCAGTTTAAAGCCCCCAGGAGCTCCATGGGAGAAAGATTTAGCTCTCTGCTCCTGTAATGGGTCGCAGCCTGGGAAATCCACAGGGGCAGTTCTACGCTGATCTGTAGGGTCCTTACGAGTCAGAATCGACTCAGTGGCAGAGTTGTTTTTTTAATACAAACCCATAAAGAAGTTGCATTGACTCGATTGTAACAGAATTGCCTGTGTTTGTAGGAGGAATCCGGCACCACACAGACACTCAGATCCCAACGTGGCCTCGTTGAGTGGCACAGCCACGTTCCTGCCACTGTACACCTGGGAGCCTCTACATTGGGATCCCCGCCCCCCTCCACCCCATCATTCATTCAGCTGTGTTTTCACTGAGTGACAGCACTCTCCTAGGCATTGGAGATACAGATGGGACCTGAGGGAATTCCCTGTCGCTATGGGGATACAGTCTCGAGATGGCCAGACCATCAAAGAATAAGCACGTGGTACAAGGCAACCCTCCCCACCCCATTGTCAAGAGAAGTGGGATGGGAAACAAAGGCAGAGGACAGGACAGGCGGGCTACCTGCAGTGTGAGTGCCTGCCTTACACCACAGAGGTGGTCTTCTCTGTGGCACGGGACTCGGCCACACTGCATGCCGCTGGACAGGGATGGACAGGGGTGTACATTGTTCCTGGCTCGTGAGCTGGGGCCAAATTGATGGTGATGAGTAAGCACCCCTCGCAGCAAGGCTGTGCCGGGGACTGGGAGTTAGTGTGGACACGAGGGCGAGCCAGAGGACGAGGGGTCTAGGATGGGGACTCTGGGGGGTGGAGACACCAGGATGATGGGAGGTTGTCCCTCAGGACCGCTGGAGTCACCCAAAATCATGAGTCACACTCGACAGGACAAGGTTGAACATCCCCCAAGAATAAGAAGGGATGGCCGTCAGGTCATGGAGACGTGGGGTGGGGTCAAGGCTGGGGAGGGAGTGGTTAGTGAGGACAAGAGGGCCAATGGGCTGGAGGCAGCAGCGAGGGTCGGTCGTGATGCCCCCTCCCTCCCTTTTAGCTGAGCGAGAGGACAGCCCCAGGGATAGGTCCTCTGGAGGCCAGGTTCTTGTGGTCTTGGGGTGGAGGAGGCCGTAGTTTGAGTCCACGACTCTGTGGACTGGATTTATCTTGGTCTCCTGGCTCCTTTGTTCTGCAAAGGAGAAACCAATCATTGTCCCCGAGATAGCTGTTCTGCAGCTTTAATTCTATTTCTTAAACAGAAACTTTTTCAAACAGAGAAAAAGTTCAATTTTGTCCAAAATATGGGTGGTGGTTTGGTTGTTTAAATGATGACGACTTGGGATGCTCTCAGGTTTGTTTGAAATGTTTCACTAGTCTAAGTTTTAAAACCCTGGGTGGTAGGTGTTTTGCTCACTTCTTTGTAAGGCTTTGGGGATGGATTGCATTGTTTCGGTAGCATGGGGGAACAGATAAAAAGCGGAGGTAACATTCAAACATGGGTAGAAACACTGGCATGATGCATTCCTCAGAGGGAGCTTCTAGGAGCTGCAGCACCCAGCTCTCCCTGACAAGCAGCCAGGGACATCTTCCTGAGGCCAAGGAGCATCAGGAGCGTCAGAACCCTGCTGCCCCAGCCCACTTGCCCCCTGGAATTCCGAGTAGAAATCTCACAAGGTGCTGGGGCCCAAGGTCATGCAGTGGTGAGAGTGAGAAAGGAGGCATGTCCAGGTCCTGGGACCTGGTGCCAACAACCTGGGGTCTGGGATGGCAAATGGCACTTGCATCGAGTGCAGGTACTTATCCTAAAGGTGCGTGGGCATCAGGGGAAGGGAGTGCTGCAGTTGATTGGCCATGCCTGGCCAGTCAGAGCAAGGGCAGCCATCAGACTGTAGAAACCTGACTATCAGGGCCTCATGGCCAAGCGCAGCTCACCAAGCGGACAGCAGGCATGTGGGTGTGTATCAGACCTGGTCCTGCTGTGAGGGAGCCCCTCCCCCTGTCCCCCCCGCACTGCCCCTCCAGCCCTGTGACCCTCAGGTACCCTGGAGAATGTCACTGGCACTCCTAGTGAGTGATGACCTCTTCTTTGTTTTTTTAAATTAATAAATCATTTTATGGGGGGCTCTCACAGCGGTTATAACAATCCAAACATCAATTGTATCAAGCACATTTGTACAAATGTTGCCATCATCATTTTCAAAACATTTTCTTTCTGCTTGAGCCCTTGGTATCAGCTCTTTTTCCCCTCCCTCCTCCACCCTTCCGGACCCCTGGTAAGTTATAAATTATTATTAATTTCGTATCTTACCCCGTCTGCTGTTTCCCTTCACCCACATTGCTGTTGTTCGTGCCCCTCGGTGGGGGAGGGGGTGTTATATGTCAATCATTGTAGTTGGTTCCCTGTTTTCCCCCCTTCTCCCTTGTCTTCCCTTTACCCTCATGGTATCGCTACTCCCATTACTGTTCCTGAGGGGTTTATCTGTCCTGGATTTTGTGTGTCAAGAGCTCTTATCTGTACCAGTGTACATGCTCCGGTCTAGCGGGATTTGTAAGGTAGAACTGGGGTTGTGATAGTGGAGCGTGGGGGTGGGGGTAGCATTTAAGAACTAGAGGAATGTTGTGTGTTTCCTTGGTGCTGTGCTGCACCCTGGCTGGCAATGACCTCTTCTTATGAGGACGAAGGTGGGGAAGGGGAGACACCTTGGGGTCCCAGAGGCAGAGGGCCCCAGCCCCACCGGCCCCAGCAGCAGCAGGGAGGCCCAGAGGCAGCTCCTTCCACCTCCTCAGCCTCCACCCGAGCCACCGGCTGCAGCTAACAAGTTACAGCTGGTGCTCGGATCAAACACCCCCCCCTTCCCGAAAAGCTGGTGACGATGGATAATTAGCTAGGAGTTGGGTCCAAACGTGGGCGGGGAGGAGGAAGTGAAGGGAGGCAAGGGACCCATCGTTTCTCAACTCAAAACCACATCATCTGAAGAGCATCGAAGGCCCCCGGGGGCCGGGAGCCTGCAGGAGGCAGGCCTGAGCATGTGGCTTCTGAGTGCCGCTGCCAGAAGCTCTGCGTGTGTGGCCCAGAAGGACACCTGGTCCGTCGTTCCACCTGGGCGAGCGCCTAGGAGGGTCCTTACACACACACATACACACACACACACACACACACACACACCCCAGTGATGCAGACACCTGTACCATAACACGCACAGATATAACCTACCAACACAGATGTTCCCAGAACTGGGAGCTGTTCTAAGTCAGCCCAGCCCCCAAACCCAAGGACTATAATGTACAGTCTTTAGATCCCAGCAAGCTCAGGCAGCAGGATGCCGTCAACATCTGCCTCTCAATTCGCTTCGGGGAGAGGACCCAAGTCCCAACCACAGCCCCAATCCAACGCCTGGGACAAAGCCAGCTGTCAAGGGGTGGGAGACACAAAACCGGCAGTCCCTGTAGGAGCTCAGTCAACGCCTGGAGAAATGTCAAAAAACTCCCGACAGGTTTTCTAGTGCAGGGAGACACCACCCAGCAAAGCCAAACATGGGTGCCAACCTAGATTCTTCTGGTTCAAATCCCAGAGCAGCCAGTGTCTTGCTGTTTGCTCTTGGGCAAAGTACTTAAGCCCCAGTCCCCCGACCCCCTTTCTACCTGCCTCTGAGCCTCAGGAACCACAGACTAGAAGAACTAGATGGAGCCCACCTACCACTTCCAGCTGTTCTCCTCAGCGCCACAATAGGGAGACCTTGACAGAATGGGAGGAAACAACGTGGACCAGAACTTCCCATTCCTTAATAAACACAATGACAAACCCAGATTCATGGGACCGGTGAGCCCAGAGTTCCCCAGGACGATCTCCCAGAGTTACTCTTCAAACTTTGAGTCGAAACTACCAGATGAACTCACAAAAGATAGACCATCGCCAGGGACAACGGTGCTCCTTTAAAAATCACCTCCCAAGGCTCCAAGTCCCTTGCCGCCAGGTTTGTTCTGATTCCCAGGGACCCTCTTCGACAGGGTCGCACTGTCCCTGGGGAATTCTGAGGCGGTCAATCTGGAGGGGAGTAGAAAGCCTCATCTCTCACATGCAGTGGCTGGTTTCAAACTGCTGACCATGGGGTTAGCAGCCCCAGTTGTCACCGCTATGCCACCAAGACTCCTCCTTATAGGAGAACAAACGGACAGACGGGAACAAACAGGGCGGAAATCATCAGAAGGCCTACGTGTTGCGAAGAATGAAGTCAGTGCTACTGGACAGACCCGGTTTCATGAGATTCCAAACTGCACGTCAGCCTCTGCCCCAAGCACCCCAAATGTTCATCAGAGGGGGAAAAGCTACCGTCCGGGCTCCGGTGCCCTGCTATTTGACATAGTGGGTTACACGCTGGGCTGGCAGCACAAACCCACCAGCCACCCTTAGGGAAAAAAGATGAAGCGTTCTGCTCCCTTGAGATTTGCAACCAGAAGGAAGAAAGTGCCCTACAACGGACTGTGGGGCTTGATACGATCCAATGATTGCCTTGTATATGTGGATGACACGACAATAAAACTATCAAAACTGGAAAAAGAGAGAGAGATTTACAACCTCAGAAACCCACAGGGCAATTCTACCCTGTGCTAGGGGATCGCTAGGAGTCAGTGTGGACTCGGCGACCGTGGGTCTGGTTTCTCTTGGTTTATGGACGTTGGTGTGGCAACTTCCCCTCAGATCTTCCCCGCTTTCTGCATCCCTGTGTAGACACTGTCTGGTCCGTTACTACTTGCGCTTCTCGGATGAAACGCGAGGAGCTGGACTGTACGAAGGAGAATGTGGCGTCAGGATTGGAGGAAGGTTTATTAACAACTTGGGGTGTGCCCATGACACCACCTTGCTTCCTGAGAGTGAGGAGGTCTGGAAGTACCTGCTGATGAGGATCAAAGATTGCAGCCTTCAGAGTGCATTACAAGTCAATGCCAAGAAGACCTAAATCTCACACCTGGACCGATCCTTCACAGCATGATAGATGGAGGCAAGTTGAAGTGGTCCAGGATTTTGTTTTACTTGGATCTACCATTCTTGCTCATGGAAGCAGCAGTCGAGATCCGAGGATGTACTGCATTAGGTAAATCTGCTGCACGAGACCCCTTTAGAGGATTGAAGAGCAAGGATGTTACTTTGAGGACTACGGTGCACCTGACCCAAGCCAGGGTGTTCTTTATTGCATCATATGCATGGCAAAGTTGGGCACTGGATTTGGAAGGCCCTAGAAGAGTTGATGCACTGAATTGTGCTGGAGAAGAAACCTCAAAGTTCCATGGACTGCTAAAAGGACAAACCAAATTGTACCGGAAGAAGGAAGGCCAGAGTCCTCCTTAGAGGCAAGGCTGGCAAGACTTTGTCTTCCGTCCTTTGGACATGCTGTCTGGAGTGACCCGTCCCTGGAGAAGGCCCTGGGCGAGCTGGATGGACACCAGGGCTGCCACAACGGGCTCAGGTACAGGAACAATGGGGAGGGTGGTGCAGGACCGGGCAGTGTTTGGCTCCGTGGTGCACGGGGTCACTATGGGTCGGATCCGACTCGGTGGCACTGGACAACAACTTGGTGAGCCTGGGTGAGCGCCCTGGGCTGGTGTGCAGTTGGCACTTGGTGACTTGACAGACAGGCCTGGCGATTCATCAGTTTCTAAGAAACTGTCGGATGAAAACCCTCTGGGGCCAGGAGTCAGGCTCGGCCCGGTGGCAACTGCTCTTTGGTCACACGAGGCAGACAGTGGCCCCCTGGGGGAGGAGGACTTGGCAGTTTCCCTCCCACTGGAGAATGTAGGAGTGGATTCCGGGATCCCACCCGGGATCCTGCCCCTCTACCACTTGCCTCCCACCCGGGCGTACCTGCCACGTTGGCCATGCGCAGGGCCTCCTGGTTCTTGGGCGTCTTGGAGCGATTCTGGCTGCGCTGCTTGCCCCCCGCGGAGCGGATGCTGCGCAGGTGGACCTCCGTGGCCTTGAAGAAGGCCACCATGAAGGGCTGCTTGTTCTGGGGCCCGTGCCGCCCGATCAGACCCGCCACCTTGGGGTTGATGCTCTGTCCTAGACAGAACCGGATAGAGCAGGGGCAGGGTGAGGAGGGCCAGGTCGGGTGCTGGGCTCCGAGGGGCAGCTGTCTCTCCACCCGCCGGTTTGTCCCTGGGTCAGGCACCTGCATGGGTTTGCTGTGCACCGACTGTGGCGGCGGGCGCTGAGCGAGCAGCTCAGAGCTCGCCAGGAAATGAACACAGAAAGGCCTGGCCCACACGGCGCAGGGGGCGGCGGGAGCACAGGCACCCCCTGCCATCTGGTAGTGACTGAAGCGGGGAGGGAAGGAGGCCACAGGCTAGTGGTTCACGGAATGTGCACACAGGTCATTGGCCACAGCAGCTTGCCTGACCCACCTCATTTCAACAAGGCTGGGCACACAGAAGCCTTCTCTGGGCCAAGGACAGTGGACAGTGGCCAAGAGCCCTCCGGATGGGCACCATGCCCCGGAGAAGGGCTTCTGAGCAGTGACCTAGATACACAAAAGGGAGCCCCCCAGGTATCACTTGGCCTTCCCTCCGGAAGAGGCAGAAGCCCCCGGGAGCCTGAGCAGAGACCAGTCTGCCTGTGGCGGGGAAGGGAAAAAGACGTGGTAGACAGGCTCTCTGCTCAGATGTACAACCTTGAACCCGGTAAAGGCAGCATCGCCTTGCAGGCAGTGGGTTGGGGTGAGAAAGGTGGGTAGGCAGAGACAATGCCACTCTTTAAATCTATTTCCCAGTGAACGTTTTCTTCCCACGTCCTTTGAAGGCCCGAGTGACACCCGAGGGAAGCGGTCAGGGTGAAGCGACGGAGGATAGGGTGGGTCAGATAGAGCCCTGTACAGATGAGGGTGAGCCGGGGTGCCCTCCCTGGGCCAGTGTGGATCAGGGCCAGCCCTGCGCAAGCTCCCTGGCCGTTTGTGCAGTCAGGCCCTTGTCTGCTGACAGCGCCCCTCCCGAGGAGAAAGCCCGAGGGACTCTGGGAGTCTGTGCAGCAGCCCCCAGCGAGGAGGGCTCGGAAGGCTCCTGGGGAAGTTTGGGAAGGAAGATGTGAGTGAGCCAAGGGTCCTGGACATGAGGGTGCAGGTTGAGGGAGGGGTCCTTCTGGCGGGCTCTTCTGATCGGTTGAGTGAGGCAGG